CTCGGAAACCCAGTGGAGGTTGCTATGAGGTGGAATCGACTTCATGGCAGTGAGGTTTTTTTTTTTTTTTTTCCCTGTGCAGAAGTTATTATCCCACCTTGTAGATGGGAAGAATGGGACTCAGGAGAGGAGACTGGGATCCAAAGCTCAGTCATGGCACAGGGAGAGGGACTGTCACCCCAAAGAGACCTTTTCCACTTGAGCTGCTCTCTCCACCCCACCCCACCCCACCACTGGCCCCACCCTAAGTCTGCCCTTTGATAGACTCCTGAGCTATATACTGGCCTTGACCTTGGCCTTGGGCTAGGTTCCCTGGGAGCCAGAGAAGGGCACACTAGAGGCAACCTGAAGCATCTCCCACACAGCCAAGAAATTGTGACTTGTCACTTAGAAGCTTCTGTGCCAGCTGACAGGTGGCGGTTGAGGAATTGCGGAGGACGGGGCTGTGGGGGCAGGTGTCTCCAACAGTTTGGAGGGGGGATGGCTTTAAAAGCAATGTGGGTTGGACCCAAAACCGTATAGAACCTTCTCAAGCTGGCACGGAGAACCACATCACTTTACAGCTCTCCTCTGTAAAAGTCAGGGTGTTACTGAGATGGTGCTTCTTAGTATTTCATTTCAAACATTTCAAATGCAGAATGTCATTCTAAAATGTTCACCTCCTGGATTAGAGATTAATCTCAAACTGGGATAAAGTTTGGGGGTATTACGGATTTCAGTTAAGTATATGGAATGAGTATTTTGAATAGAGCCCTTGCAAAGAACAAAAGTCCTAATCTAGCATTTGCCACCTGGCGGTTCCCACTGGGGGCCACTAAAGCTCAGTGTGTGGGTTTAATGTTTCAAATTGTTTGGGGCTAGTCCAGTGGTTTTCAACCTGGGGCAGTTTCGTACTTCCCTCCCTTCCCCCCACCAGGGGCCATCAGACCATGTCTGGAGGGAAGGGCGGTACAATTAGCATCTAAGGGTTAAAGGCCAGGGAGGCCGCTAAACATCCTACAAAGCCCAGTACAGCCGCCCTCTACCACAATGATGTCGCTCTGATTCAGGCACCAAAAAAAAAAAAAAAAAAAAGCAAAGCCATTGAGTCAAGCAGCTCTGGTAGTGCTGTGGTTAAAGCATTGGGTTGCTAACCAGATGGTCAGTGGTTCGAACCCACCAGCCACTACAAGGGAGAAAGATGAAGCAGTCTGCTTCCATAAAGATTTGTTGTTGTTGTTGTTATGTGCCATCGAGTAGGCCCCTCCCTGGGTTTCCAAGGCAGTATCACTACGGAAGTAGATTGCCCCATCTTCCTTCCGAGGAGTGGCTGGTGGGTTTGAACCGCCAGCCTTCTGGTTAGTAGTCAAGTGCCTTAGGTACTATGCTACCAGAGCTCCTTGGAAACCCTATGGGGCAGTTCTACTCTGTCCTATTGGGTCACTGTGAATCAGAATTCACTCGATTGCAGTGGGTTTGGTTTCTTTTGGTTCTGGCCTTCAAATCAATTCCAACTCACAGCAGCTGGGCTGGTGATTTCCGGCCAGCCCCACCAACTCATCACATTTTACTTTCTTTCACGCCATTGTGGCTTAAAAACACCAAAAATAGTAGTTATCACAGGAGGTTTGGGGTAGGGGAAATGGGAAGAGTTTTCAGATCACATCTAAATACTTCTATTTACATTCCAGGAGGAGGAGGAGGAGGAGGAGGCTGAGACCAGGCTTCTTCTAAATGACAAGGTCTTTTCCAGAGAATGCTGGTTGAATGTAGACTCTGCTTAGGGACCAGCCTCTTGTCTGGAGGAACCTGGTATGTGACCATTCAGTTTCTTATTATGATTTTGTTGAGTAAAACCAATAAAACCCAAACTCATAGCGACCACTCCTTGGGTTTCCGAGGCGGTATCACTACAGAAGTAGATTGCCCCATCTTCCTTCTGAGGAGTGTATGGTGGGTTTGAACCACCAGCCTTCTGGTTAGCAGTCAAATGCCTTATGAAGCAGCCACCATTTCAGCCACGTGGTCATCACTTACACTGCTCCTGCCACTGATTCTTCTCAGCAACCTATGGGGAACCTGTATTCTTGTTCCCACTTCACAGATGACAGAAGCTCCAAAAAGTGACTTGTCAGGGCCCCAGAGCTAGTGTTGGGAGATACCTGAGCCTGAGCCCACTGGCCTCTCCATGCCACCCCACCCAGGGAACCTCAAAGTCTGCCCTCTTCCTGTTGTTATGTGCCGTCGAGTCAAACCCGACTCATAGAGACCCCTCCTTGGGTTTCCGAGGCAGTATCACTACGGAAGTAGGATTGCCCAACCTTCCTTCCGAGGAGTGTCTGGTGGGTTTGAACCGCCAGCCGTCTGGTTAGCAGGCAAGTGTCTTAGCCACTATGCTACCAGAGCTCCCGCCCTCTTCCTAGGTCAGTCCTATTCCAAGACTATGAGTGAACCTGGGGAGAATGAGATGTGCCCCATGCAGAGGGCAGGACATGGGAGGGGCCCAGAACTGAAGGACACTTCCGGAGAAGGGGAAAAGAACAAAGAGCTCATAGGGGAAGAATAGAGAAGAAAGAAAATGGCCTTTTACCATTTGAAATTCAAATCATTCATGATTTACATTATTTTAAACATTTGAAAAGTCAGGGGGTAGGCCCCTTGTGAAAGAGGAAGGCCTAGGTTGGAGAGAAAATGCATGACAATGACTAATTAACATTTGGCCCAATTCTGTAGTTTCAACCAAGATCCCCAGCTCCTTACAGATACCATGGCTCACTCTCCATCTGGTAGAATCAGCATCACATAATGATAACATTAAAGATGATAACAACTTATATTAAGCATTTACTGTAGCCTGGCATAGTGCTGACTGCTTGGCAAGGGTTGCCTTGAGGAATTATCACAATAAGTAATGGGGTAAGGATAAGTATTAGCTCCAGTTTGCAGTTGAGAAGACTAAGGCTCAAAGTGGCTCCAGAACTGCCTAGAGTCAAACCCCTGGAAAGCGAGAGAGGCTGGACTCCTGCCCAGGTCTGCTTGCCTGCAGAGTCTAAGCATATACTAGATCTTACAAGGAACCAAGGACTTGCCCAGTAAGCACAAGGTCATCTCGGGTCTCCCGACTCTCATGCCTGGATCCAGCAATGGTGCCCAAATGTATGCAGGGCCACCAAACAGAGAACAAGTCCTGAGTGCCTGAAGAGATCTCTCACCCCTGCTGCACAAATGGGGAAGCTGAGGCTCCAGGAGGGACCCCAAGATGCAGAGCCAGCGAGATAGAATCAGGTCTGTAGCTGGGGCTGTGTGATTCTGCTCTTGGCCTTTTCCCCTGCTCCTGCATCGGTCTCATTAGCCTCTGGTCCCTTTAATTCTCTCCAAGCTTTCTTCCTTCTAGCAGCTGTAGCTCTCCAAGTTCAGAAGGACCCTCTGGCTTCCCTACCCTTTCTAGGGAAGAAATTAAGTTTTAGCCTGAAAACACCACAAAAACCTTTGTTTCTTGACAATTGTCCTGGAAGCCTTGCAAAGTCCCAGATAGCTTCTGGGCTTAAGGCTTAAGGTGTGTGAAGGTCCACACCAAATAACTGAGAATAATATCCACTCCTTCTTGGAAATGGAAAGTCAACCCCTAGCATGAACAACCGGAAATGTATTAACAGTTGCTTTTGAGAACTGAGGGACTTGGGTGGAGGAATCAGGTTGATGGTGCAGACCCAATGAGTGTCTAGACCTGTCCCACATGTACCTTCTCTGGGGTAATCATGGATCTACCCTCATGTTGAGTTTTACAATGATCCTCCTGTTTACAACTTCAAAGTCAGTAAGTGGAGAAGCCAAAAGGTGTGGGGTCCTGCCACTCCCATCCCCACCCCAATTCCCTCTTTATAGGTGGCCCATGAAGTTCTTAAATCAGTGAAAAGTTCCAACTCCTGGAGAAATTCATGTCCCTCACTTGTAGAACAAGAAAGTGAGGCCGCGTAGGGTGGAAGTTGAGAGAGAAGCTAGGGGCAGTGCCCGGGCTAGTCGCAGGGTTGGGTAAGGTCAGAGAGGCTGCCCCTTAAGGGCCTGCTCAGCACTCTCAGAAGGGGCCTCTCATACTTGGAAACTAATTTTTACAGACTCTGTCAACAACTGTCCTCTTCCTAGTGGTCTTAGAGTGGGACTTCAAGTCAAGTCCCTTCCCCTTCTTCCTACATCCAGGATATGGGGCCAGGGGGTAGGCCAGAAAATAAGACCCAGGGTCCCAGTGTCTTGCATGGAGGTCTACAGCAGTCCAGGAACATTTCAGAGACCAGGCTGTAGAGAAGAGGCCAATGGGCTCCTAGTTAAGGCCTTTGAGACACTCACATTTGAGGTCTGTGTAAGTGGCCTTCTGCCTTGGAAAGAAGAACTCTACATTGTGAAGCTAATAAGGTTTCTAAAACTAATCCTTCTCTCAAACAAAACACTGTTTTGAACAGCAAAGCATTTCCTCAGGTTCTAATGTGCATTTGAAAATGCCAGCGGGCCAAGTTCAGGCCCAAGCACAAAGTACTATAAAACTTTAAGGACCAAGTTCAGGCCCAACTACCATACACAGTAAAACATTAGAGGCTTCTGAGGGTCCCTCTCTCCGTCCCTGACTAGCTTCCACGTGTTCCCAGAGGCAGCGCCGTGGCCTCTCTTTGATGACCCCTGATGGCACCAACGCTCCAGATGGCACACTCGCTTTGCCAAAGAGGCACAGGGCACAGAGTTCCTGTGCTTTCTCAGCATTGTGCAGGGCCTGAGGGCAGGAACCCCGGGGCCAGGGGCAGTGCGAGGGACGGTCCTAGAGCTACCACCCCAATCTGGATACACAGGCAAACCCTCCACAGAGTCACCTGGCCAAGGGAGACTCAGAAGCCACTTCCGCACGTACCTCCCTAAAGTGTCTCCCTGACCCAGTCTCTGCAACCCACCCCCCCCCCCCCCCCATCCCCAGGCCTCCAAGCCCTCCACCCACCCAGCAGTGCACAGCACTGGCTCCTGAGCAGGGTACTCACATGCCCTGATCCCCATACTGGTTGTAGAACTCCATGTGGCTGCATGCCTGAATCCAGCCAACTATCCAGGTCTCCTTCTTGGGGATCGGGGGCATGACGACTTGGGCAGAGGCCCGGAAGTGGGGTGTGCGGTAGCGGAGCACCACACTGGAGGACTCATCGATGCTGGTGGGGATGGGGTCGATAGAGGCTTTCACGTCAATCACCGTAATACCTTCCCGGAAGACTTTGGCTTTGCCGCCGATGCTCTGAATACAGCCCATGGCACAGAGGACCGCTCTGATCTCCAGAGAAGGCCAGCAATCCCAGGGAAAACCAGGCATTGAAAGGATCGAGGCTGCCGGACCCAGTGCAGAGGGCTCGCCAGTCTCAAAGCTCAAGATCGATATCCATAGGATAGAAAATTCACCGAGTAGAGGAGGTCTTGCATATCACTACCTTGGACTTGTTTATAAATAAGGATTTTGTTGCATTTCAGGAGCCCTGGGCTCGCTCTTCTCCTCCGAGCAGTGGACAAAAATCACCGATATGCTCTGGGTTAAAAAAAGAGAAAAGTTTGGAGTTTAATGGATAATCATGTTGTTCGGACATCCAGCCCTTCAGCGGCTCATGCGCGGGCGACGCAGGTCGGAGACGCTCCTCAAAGTCTTCGGATGAAGAAGGCGACTGCTGGTTGTCACATAAATAAGAAAAGCTCAGTTGCCTGCGCGGTCCCGCCACCCTCTCTGCAGAAAACCGACTTCCTGCCCTTCTGCCTTCCGCACGCGCTCGCGGGCACACACACCCGGCAGCTCGCCCGGACGCCGAATCAATTAAAGAGCAGTTTCTGTTCAATCAGCGAAGATCCAAGCAAGCCCCCGGCGAGCGCCAACCGGCGGCTTCCAGGAGCCGAGCGCCGGGCTCTGGCCGCTAGCGGGGTCCCAGAGGAGCCCAGCGCAGTTCGGGTCCCGTCGGAGCCCACTCGCTGGCGCGAGCAGAGGTGCGGGCCGGACGCCCCCACGCGGGCTCGCCGCGTCCCACCCGCCGCCGATCGCCCGCGGCGCTGATGGTCGCCTCGCCGCTACCGCTGTCGCCGGTGTGGGCCTCGGGGCTCCGTTCTGGCCGCTGCCGCCTGTTTCACTGCGGCCGCCCGAGGACCTGGTGGGAGGTGGAAGAGACAGGGCGTCAGAGCCCGTCTCAAAGTTGAGCCGAACTTTGCTGCGGGGGGCGGCGGGGACGCGGCGACGGTTGTGCGCTGGGCGCAGGCTGCAGAGCTGACGGCGCAGCTCTGGGCGGTCTCCCCGGAGGCGGCGGCCCCCCCGCCCGCCCCGTCAGTGGCGGCCTCACGACTGCGCGCACCAGCGAATAATCGCTGCCCGTGACATATCCGCTGACAGCCTCCCCGCCTCGGGGTAGGGTAGGGGGCGACGGGTTTGCACTGCAGTGGGCCGCGTGGACTTGCTGAACCCAGCACTGCCCGCCCCCCACACATACACACATCGCGGCCAGCGCCTGGCGCGGGTTCCCTGGGCAGTTTCCTCCTGCCCCCTGGGGGCGCAGTGACCCGCAGTCCAGCCAGATCGGGCGCGCGCCCCTTCAGGGGCAGGGTACCCACGCACCCTGAGGGCGCGATGCCCCCACCCCACCTTACCCTACCCCCACCTGGCTAGGGCGCCAGCCCAGAGCGGTCCCAGATCCCTGCGCGTCCAGAGCGCGAGCCGCTGCCAGGGAACTTTGGCGCGCGCGCTCCCACCCGGGCAGCGAAGCCGACTCACCTGCCCGCAGCTGCCCTCCGGACGCCCCTGAACCTGAAGCCCGCAGCCAGGCGACTTCGGCCCCCCGGGGATACGTTCTCGGGGCGCCCCCACCCCCTTTCCCGGGCAGTGTCCTTTGGCTCTACAGGGGTCTGGGGCCAGCGTGGGCGCCCCGCCCTTGCTCCCCCACCTCCTTGCTCGGGGCTGCTTGGGGGTGGCCCGGGGCAGAGGCTGAGGCTCAGGGCTCTCTCGCCCCCACCCCTCCCGCCTCCTTTATTTTATGATCATTGTGACAGTGCTGTCGCTTGTCAGCCCCGCCGCCGCGCCGCAGCCGCCTGGCGCTCCCGGCTTTGCCTCGCTCTGCTGCAGCATCGGAAAGGCAACCAGGTCAAACTTTGCAGAAACTCAGCCCCTGCGCCGGTCTGGCCCCGACGTCCGCCCGCAGCCGCCTGTGCCCGAGCGCCGCCGCGCACGCAGGGACCGCCGCCCGCTCGCCGGCCCCGCGGGGTTGCAGGTCCGCAGGCGGCGGCGGGCGGACGAGCCACCGCCTCCTTCTCCCCGCCCGCCCGGCTCTTCCAACCTCTCTCCCAGCACAAGGCCCTCCCTCCCACTGGTTAGCTCTTTCCCTCTTTCTTCCCCCCACCCCCCTCCCTGCAGCTGCTGGGGGAGCTGAACTTCTGGTAAAAACGACATTTCCTTTCTGGCTAACCCCAGGAATTCTGGGTAGTGTAGTTCGGCTTCTGCCTCGGGTCCAGGTGGGTTGACCCCGTGCGCCTCGAACTCTGCAGGCCAGAGTCTCTCTGGGCTCACGGCATCTGAAGAAAAGCTGCACTACCCTGGTGTTCCTGGACACAGGGAGGTTTGTGGCTAAATGGAAACAGGGGACCTTGGAGTCTCCAAGGCTGGGAAGGTGGAGGGTGTGGATGAGATGGTCCTGAGGTTGCTGGCCTTCTCTCACCCTGACAGGTGGCCAGGCTTGTTGGGCCTCATGTGTGTGTGTGTGTGTGTGTGTGTGTGTGATAAGCTCTGGACAAGCTTCATTTCATCTACCATCAGCCACCCTGTGCAGGAAAGGTTATGATGTGAATTTTACAGAGAACCATACCAAGGCTATGAGACTTGGAGACTTGCCCAAGGCTGACAGCTGGCAAGTGTTGGATCTGAGACTGGGATCCTAATGGTCTGAGTGCAAAGGTTCAAAAAGGGCCTTAAGCCTGGGCAGGAGTGAGATAGCTCTCAGTTTCTCTAAGCAAGTAGCTCCCACCAGTAACCAGTAGACCTACCCCCACTGTGCAACTGTCCCCCAGGGGAAAGCCAAGTGATTTGTGACATCAGAGAACCTGGCAGCTGCATTAGAGCCTGGTCCCCACCCGTGACTATGGTTTCTAACGATACCTATAGCCGGTCTCCAGGCAGGTGATCCAGGTGGCCTGTCCAAAAGCCAGACCATTGTGTGTGCATGTGAGAGATAGCATGTGTCTCCAAAGGGCCCCGCATACATTTCCTTTTCCAGGAAGTCTCTCCTGGCCTCTCCACCCTCAGCAATCTCTCCTACACCACGAACTCATAACCCCTGTGAAATGTTCTGGCCATCTGGGACTCACTGAGAGTCCTCCTGTGCCATCCAACAATTATGAATCAACTCAGGTTATATATAGGTAAGTTGTTAACATTTCAGAGTCCATCTCATCTCCCAATCCATCACTCACATTACCTAAAACAGAGCAGACCCCATTGGTGGGGTGCTCCCTGAAGCAGGGATGCTATTCTGTTACCCAGGATTGTACCTGAATGTTGGGGGTGCTCCATGACCTCGTGTTAAAACTGCAGGTCTTTCTGATTTGATGGGAAGAGGACAGAGCCCCAAACTGCCTGTTAAGCATTAAAACCCCTACATTTCCTGGGGGTGAATTTCCCTGAGATCACTCAAAAGTGGCCCTGGATTTGATGTTGGTTTGTGATGATGATGATAAGCTCCCACTATGTGTCAGGGTCCGACTCAATGGCATATAACAGCAACAACAACAACATGTGTCAGACACTGAATGAGCGAGCACCACCTAAGTATTGTCATCTTTATCCTTGACCTTGACCCAGAAGTCTGGGGACAGTGACTTCTCAGAGTCTGGATCCCAACCCAGATCCAGCTAACTCCAAAGCCCACACTCTTAACCCCTCCAGTGGGTGTGCTGCCCCTGCTAGCTGGGGTCCAGAGCCTCCAAGTCAGGATGGGACCACTAGGGAGCACTGTCTCTGGTAAGTCCACCCAGAAGAGGTGCTTGGGTGCCCACAGGCTCTTGCAAAATAGAAGACACCTCTTCCTTTGCCTTGGGTTCCTCTTTCACATCACCTTCTATATGTTACTTTTTTGGGGTTCAGTTTGAAGCCCCAGTTCTGCAGGTGGGGGGAGGGGTGCAAGTGTGGAGGACCCAGGCAGCATCTGTGGACCTGTTTACCAGGCCCTGAGCTGAGAAGAAAGGAGCTCTGGTGGTGTAGTGGGTAAGACATTTGGCTGCTAACCAGAAGTTCAGTGGTTCAAACCCACTTGCTCCTCTGTGGGAGGAACAGAAGGCAATCTATTTCCATAAAGATTTATAGCCTTGGAAACCCAGTAGGGGGTGCTATGAGTTGGAATTGACTCGGTGACAGTGGGTGAGGCTGAGGGGAAGGAGCCCTGGTGGTGCGGTGGTTAAGAGCTTGGTTGATAACTAGAAGGTTGGCAGTGTGACCCCACCAGCCATCTGCTTCTGTAAAGATTACAGCCTTGGAAACCCCATGGGTTCTACCCTGTCCTATAACGTCATTATGAGTCAAAATAAACTTGACAGCAGTGGAGTAGAAGCTGAGAGGCAGCTACTCTGGGACAAGCCCTGAGTGACCAAGGGTCTAGACAAGCTTGGTCACACGTGCATTCCCTGTCCCAGCTCCTGAAGGGCTCACACCAAGCTTCTGGCTGTGTCCCCAGCTCTTGGCCTCTCCAGCCCTCCTGCCTCCCCACACAACCCTTTGTCTGCTCAGCATTTCCTGGAGCTCTGTGGGTGTTGGGCACGGACCCATGGCTGTCTCAGCATATGTGAAAGGCTCATGATGCATCCACGCCAGTATGTGCACCCAGGAGTCACAGTACAGAGAAAGGGGGCATCTACTTGGGATGTGCCTGACACCATAGAGACACTCACACTGCCTATCCCCTTCTCTTCCCTGGGCCTCAATCTCCCCTGACTCCCTGCAGTAACATCACCAGTGAATGGGAAAGTGTGTGTGTGGGGGGGAGGTCAGGAGAGTGATGCCCCGACCCATGATGGGAAACTTCTCAAGAAAGCAAAGGGGGAGTTCAGAGTGTTCTTGGTGGGAAGAAAAGATCCCCCTGTGCTCCTCAATTCCAGGCACATTTGGTCCAGAAAGCTCATGAAAATCCAAAGCCACATAGCAAGTCAGAGGCGGAACAATGACCCCACCTAGCTGGGTTTAACATGCAGCCCCAAACAACCAGCACCCTTTAAGTTCTGCAGAAACAGGCAACTTCTCCTCCCTGAGTGTTGCTGTGAGCCAAGAGCTTTACACACAGCATCTTTGTGGCTTTCCACAGAGACCCCATGAGCCAGGTCCTACTTTCAACCCATTCTGCAGAGGAGGACATCCAGACCCAGGATAGAGGGAGGCATAGATTGAACAAGGCAGCCTGGCTCCATGACCAGGAGGCTGGGTGATTAAGGTGCAGCCAAACCTTGGGCACCCCCTGAGGAAGGTTGTCTTTTTTGGGACCTCGTTTTCAGTGGCCTATAGAGACAATCACATGGCTCCTTCCCCAACGTGGACCAACCTGCATCTCAGGGCCACATCCAGGCCTCTGAAAGTGGGGTCATCATGAGATGCAAAGGCTTTTCACAGGAAGGAAAAGTCCTTGCTCTGCAGAGGAAGAAGAAATGCTG